AATAAATTAATTAAAGGCTAAAATTAAAAACAAAATGTCTTTCAAAACTAACAAAAGGATTTTTTATGAAACTATTTCACAAAAAGTGTACCTTTCACTAATAAAAATTATTCTCTAAGCCTAACACCTTAGACACTATCTAAATTGAATTTATCACAAATTTTCTCTATTAACAATGTGTACTAACGTAAATAATTGTAAATAAAATTAACCTTACATCTATGAGAGTTGTTAATGTGACTTGCCCTTTCAAAGCCAAGTTGAGTTGGCAATACGTCAACGTAAAAATGGTATTAGTAACAATCAATTGCTAGAAGATAATGTACCTCACATATTCTACCTTTTTGAGTCTTCATATTCAACCAACTGCACAAAAATTCCACACTTTGTCTCTGACCCGCATCGACCAAAGTATGTACTAAATGTTATCATCTATAGGTTCACCAACGTGTATGCTGAACTGTCACTTGAATTTCCTAGGTGGCTGAACCACATGGCGCCACATGGTGCCAGCGTTGGGCCTCACACACCCTCGGAACATCACTCCACACTTCTCACGTGGCTAACTTGTGCCAAAACGAGTCTAACACCTTCCCTCCACTTTATATAAGCAGTGGTTTCTCACCTCCCAACCATGCTCAATCCAAACCAAGCTAGCTCTCAAGACAACACTAGTCCCACTTTCCTTTCGTTTCCTTTCTCCAAATTTTCTCGAGAAAATGTCTCCCATTTCCAAGGCCATTGTGTCATGGCACAAGAAACATCCTGATGGAGATGACAATGGCGATGATGAATATGATTATGCCCCGGTAGCATGCACAGAGGGAGACGATGACGACGATGGCGATGGCGATTATGCTCCGGCTGCATGAGTTATGGTTGTTAAACTATCTCGTTCTTGATAAAGAGAACTTCAAAAGCTGGCTTCTAACCCTGTTCATGGGTTTTTTTTCAAGAAGCCAAGCTTTTTGTTTTTCTTTTTGGGTGGGTAATGAAGCCAAGCTTCTTATAGGCTAAAGTAAGATTTTTTTTGGCTATATATTAATGGATCTATGGTAAGCTAATGCTTCTATCAGAAAACGATGTTCAAGAAGACGAATTTGAAATTTTAATATTCTACTAGTTTTGCAATAAATATTTTCTTGTATGTGAAATGATAATGCAATAATTTTACATCTTTAAAAATGGATACGGGCCAATTGATATCCCAAAGAGATTGTAATTGGTAAAAAGAATGAAACTTATGATTTTATATTGAAAATTGTGAAAATAGTAAAAAAATATGATATTTGGTGATTTGTGTGTGAAATGGACCACATGATATCCGCATCGATACCAAATAATTTTGGGATATGCACATATTGTTCTTAATTATAAGACCATTTTTCTTAGGAGAAATATCAAATCAGTAAAATTTTAAAAAAATAATTACAAATTAATAAAAAAAATTATAAATATTAATAATTATATTACAGTGAGATCCCTTAAGATTTCTGTTTAATACAAATCCCTTCACATTAGAAAAATTACATTATTTTTTCTGAGATTTATAATCTCATTACAAATTACCCTATGAATTACTAATGTCATACCTTAAAAATTTCTAAATAACCATCTTATGCTTTTTTCCTACCATTTTTTCTTCATATAATCATGACTGCATTTTATAATTTTCCATTATTCATTTCTACTTGAACATATTGAGTGATGATATATAAATATAAATTTTATATATAATTTTCAAAGACAATGATATAACTTAATGGTGATATTTCACTTTAAACGAATAAAAATGCTAGATGTCCTAAAAGTTCTACCAAATTTTCTATTAAATGTCTCACATGGGTGTGGAACTCACACCATGTGGGTATATATATAACATAAATTGATTTATAAATGTTTTATTGACAGTGTATTGAGCTACACCCACTTCAAAAATAGAAGAAAAGAGGGAATCAAAAATTAAAGAATTTCATAGAATCTGATATTAGGCCGGCAAGTGTCCTTTTAGTCAAAAAGTCAAAAAATTACTAAAAAAAACTAAAAAATCAACAACTTATATCAAAAAGTCAAGATTCTTTTTTTCTCTACTTTTTACACATCTTTTCGTAAAAAGCTAAAAAGTCATTCTAAACATATTAATTTTTTTTACATTACATTTTAGTCAAAAAATTACTAAAAAAATATGTTCTCATACGAGACCTAAGAGACTAGCCACTTGTGTGTTGACACTCTTCACCGTGACCTAATCTTCTCATAAAGACGAAAGTCACCCGTAGTAGGAGTGATTATATTTGCACTCAAATAGTAACTTAAATGTTCAATTAAAATTTTAATTTTTATTATATTTTAATATAAATATATTAATAAAGACTATATATATTAAATCTTAATATAAAATATAATTTTTTTTTTTTTATCATGATACACCTTAGACCCTAATCACTTACACATATTTTTCATATTCAAATTTCGTCATCTTCTTTTTTAATTTTAATTATTTTCTCTTCATCACCTTCTTTACTCTAAAATTCCAATCCACCTCACCAAAACTCACCATTATCATCGACTCGTTCATGTACAAGTATAGCTTCTTCAAAATCTTGTTGTTCCCAATCTCAGTAGGAATTTTACCAATGAGATTGTTCTGATACAAAGCAAATTTCCATATTCTCAGTATTGTTCAAATAAAGACTTTCTAACCTCGAGCAATTTCCAATGTCCTTGGGAATATTTCCTGTGAATCCATTGTAAGAAACATCAATATTGTTAAGATTGACCAAACTGCAAATACTTAGGTTAGAATCCTAGAAAAGTTCATCGAATTCCAATCAACAAGGATTATTATAATCCAATGTGCAATTCACACCCTTCCAAGCACATGGTGTTTGGTCATTGGAATTCTAATTTCCCAAATGATTAAATTCATCTAGGATGCTTTTCTTGAACTCCAAAAGGTACAACCCCTCCGAATTCAACCGTTCTAAAGTACAAACCAATAGAGTTGGGTATACCACAAATTATGAATTTATTTGTAAAAAAATATAAGGTGTATTGAGAATAAATTATAACTCTAAATAATTTAATAAGAATTACTAAGAAATTTGTCATACTAAATAATTTTTTGGATGGAAATAGAATCACCCCCTCTAGTAGCCATTGTTTCATTGGCTGGACTTGGTCCAATGGTTCTGTAATTGGACCTAAGCCCAATAAGAAGAATGGGGCTACTTTAGTACCTACCCAAAAACTAACAGGAAAATGATTTAGGAACATAATAAAACCTCATTCACAGTGAAGTGATGGTAGCTTTTTGAAATTAGGAGTCAAAATAGTGAAGCTGTACAGGTCTAAAAATTAGACCGAATTTGTAAGTTCAATGACGTGGTAATCAATTATGATATCTAGGCTAACACTCTCCCGTATCTTCTCAACATTAACCAATCATATCACTTACACATTATTGAATCTAGAAAATGGGTCTAAAAAGGTAGACTTGTATATCATTTTCCTATTTGAAATGAAGGGATATCACAAGAAGTTATATCTTTCTATATAAAAGTTATGTGCAAATATTCTGTTTGTATATATCATTACTCAAGCTAATATGGTGAGTTCATCACTAGATTTTCAACATGAAGAACATTTACTGAATAACATGTTCACCATGGTTCCCCTCCTGCAGTCATCAGGCAAAGCCACAACTGAAAATAGCAGCAATACTAGCTTTCATGCCATTTTTACCTCCAAATGCAGTAGAATTCTCTGCCGATGTTGCAATAGGCCCCACCTCTGTTGTCTGGTTTTATCACATTGTCACCATGACTAGGAAATCTTGTTACTGTCGTGCAGCAACGTCAGATATTAGCTGCTGCAAATGTTAACGCTTCCTGAAGTAGCTTAAACAAAGCCAGAAGCACTTAAATCAGAGAAAAGAATGCAACAAATGTATGATCCTAATTGTTCACAGTGACAGACTAAAAGAAGTAATTTTGAGGTGTGGTCTATCCCATGGAGATTCTTATTTTCTGTTCTTGCCAATCTGTTCTACAACTCATTGACCAAAGTCAAGGGTTTTCACAATTCCCTAAGCTATTACATGATTATGCTAGTTCTTTCTTTCTTTTTATTTTTTATTTTTTATGGTGGTACATGAAGAAGCTAACTTCGATCTCTTTAAATTGGATTCCTTCTGTCAAGATAGTTTGGTTTTTTCTTGTTGATATAGAGAGGAGGAGTGCATGATTCCATTGTGTTCCTTTAAAATAAGTTATAACTATTTACCATGACATTCAATGGGACAACTTGACTATATATAGCTCATGGCAAAGCGGAATGACATAAAAGAATTAATATAGCTAACTCTAATTAATTAGGAGACAATGCTTGGCTTGACTTGGTTATTCAAATTGATCAACTATCAATTGTTTTTTAATGCTTGCTTAGTATAATATTATAAGGTCATTTTAAGATTTTAGTACATTAGTGATTGCTCCACTTCACAAGATCAACTTTATTTAAATACTACGTGAAAATAATAGAATACATTCCTTTTCATTGGAAAACCATATATCCGATTAGGTATTACCCTTTTGTTCATGTCACAGTTAAAATAATTGTTTGGTATCCTAAGGGTTGCAAGAGATCCAAGAAACTTTCCACCTCAAATTGCATAAATCTAAAAGATATTGGACTTTCCACTTCCAAGCAGATTGAGAAACCATTTGACCTATCCCACCCAGTTCCAACTAACAAGGCCTGCCACCAAACTTGGTTCCTACATGCTTGTATCTGGGTGGATTATAGGTTTGATTGTGTGGTAATAAGCACTATAAAGCGTCAAGTATGCACACATCATAAAAAGGATTTTATGCATCACAATAGCAATCAATTAATTTTTTATAGAATTGTTAGATTTTCTGATATACAAAGCTTACTTAACTGATATAAAAGATTCGTTTTCTATTCAAATTACTTACAGAACATAAATCTCTGTGACATTTACAAGAGACAAATCTTGAAATTCATCCTGTTTGAGGCAAAAAATCCATGACTAGTAAGGCATATTGGATGCGGAGTTCATAAACATGTCCTTCAGGTTTCAGCATTAAACCCATGACATTTTCTTTTTGTAATTTCTACAAAGCACTTCAATGAATTGTGTGAAATTATCACAGTGAATTGTATATTACATCAGCTTACCAGGTTTAACCTTGTTAAGTTAGCAAGTCAAATTGGCATGCCTTCTGGTACGTTTGTCGGTGAATCCTTTGGAATGCACTGTAATTCATTGTCTTGCTCACCAAATAGCTGGAACTTTCTTGAGCATCTGTCCTGCACCTTTCAGATCAACATCTTCATAACACTCGCCTCAATGTCAATTCTCAAATCGTTTTATGTCTTGTTAAAAATAAACAGTGCTGCTAACACCATGGCATTATATAAAAAAGCACTCTTTGGATTTGCGAAAATATGGCTTCAGTCATGAAATTTCTGCAACTGGGTTAGCTTGTTCCATTTCAATTTCTTCTAAGCCTGACAATGGTTTAGTGATGCTATCCAACATGGAATAAACTTCTTTCATCTTTGGGTGAGATGCATCTCCGACTAAGAACTCGTGAACATTACCATTAACTTCAATTGAACTACACCCAGGCGCTTTCTTGATTCCGAGAGCTTTCATTTTCCTTCTCACTTTCGTTACATCTTCCCACCTGTCAGTGGATGCATAGATATTGGCCAAAAGAGTATGAGTGCCAGAATCACTATATTCAATTTCTACAAGTCGTCTAGCCACACGTTCACCCATATCAACATTGCCATAGATTCTGCAAGCACTGAGCAAAGCACTATAAAGTGGGACTACAATTTCATCACTTTCTTTTGGTATATTTTCAATCAATTCCTCTGCTTCATCAAGTTGACCAGCACGACCAAGGAGGTCAATCAGACACCCATAGTGTTCTAACTTTGGTTCGATCTGATATGTTTTTCTCATCGAATTAAAGTATGTGCGGCCTTCCTCTACTAGTCCTCCATGACTACAAGCACTGAAAACACCGATGAAGGTGATATCATCAGGTCTAAACCCTGCTTGTTTCATTTCTGTGAACAAATCCAGAGCTTTGCTGCTGTGCCCATTCATGGCAAGCCCACAAATGATTGAAGTCCATGACGCCGTATCTTTCTCTCTCAACCCATGAAAAATCTCTAGGGATTTATCTATGCACCCACATTTGGCATACATATCAATAAGAGCTGTACCAACAACTGCATCAACTGTTATTCTGTTTTCGTCAATGTATCCATGGATCCATTTCCCATGTTCCAAAGCTCCCAACTGAGCACAACCCGTGAGGAGAGCAACCACCGTGAACTTATCTGGCTTAATCCATTCGATTTGCATCTCCCGAAACAAGGTAATTGCCTCATCAACGCGGTTAAACTGCACATACCCGTTAATCATAGCCGTCCAAAGAACAATATCCCTTACTGGACTTCTCTCAAACAAATCTCTAGCTTCATCCAATTGGCCAATGTTCACATACCCAGATACCATACTAGTCCAACAGATCACATTTTTTATAGGCATTGCATCAAAAATTTGTCGGGCAGTACTCAAACAACCACACTTGGAGTACATATCCAACAAGGCATTGCTAATTATAATGGTGAATCCAAGTTCATTAACAACATAATAGTGAATTTCTTTACCAAGTTCCAAATTTTTTAATGCTGTACAAGCCGAAAGAGTACTTACAACAGTAGCTTCATTGGGCTTCGCACCACTTTCCTGTTGCATACGCCGGAAAACATTAATAGCATCCTCGAATTGGCTACACCTGACATACCCAGAAATCAGAACATTCCAAGAAACCACATCTCTCTGGGGCATTTCATCAAACACCTTCTTCAAATTCTCATGTGAGTCAGGGATTAGAATGCAAAGGATATGCTCTCTGTTGTAGCTAAGAAATTAAGCAGAAATTAATGGCATACTCTATGTTGTTGGTGGATATGATGGAAGAAATTACTTGAGGTTTTTCAGTTTAATGGGTTCTTCACATTTAAATTGACATGCAAGGTTTTGCTCTTTGTTTCTACATTTGTGCCACTGTGTTGCAGGTATCAAGCATACAATTACGAGATGACCTTTTGTCAATGTTAGTTTCTGGGCATGAGACCACTGGTTCAGTGTTGACTTGGACAGCATATCTTCTAAGCAGGGTATTACATATAGTACCTTTTATCTTAATGAGTGTACCTTTTATCTTAATGATTTGTGTCTCCCTTTTCTATTGTTTACCATAGGAGATTCTATGCTTCTTGAGGATTGGCTTGATGTTGATTCAAGGTCTAATAGTAGTGCGTCAAATGACAAAGAGGAAAGTGGTTTTATTTATTTGAACCATTATACTGAAATTCATTTATCTTTGCTTGTGATATTACACATTGGCTTCTTCCTATTGGTATAAATTATTAACTGTAAACTTACTCTATTTCCTACTTTGACCATGAATTTCTGTGTCAGCCCTTCTTCATGACAATGGTGTTAGGTTGGGTTTCCATCCTATGTGGAGGAAGGCCCAAAACATTTAGTAAGCCCATGTGAATTCCAAAGCCCACATGGAGAGGTTATGTTTTTTGAAAAGATCTGGCCCATAAGTTTAGGGTACAAACCTTTTCTTTGTACACAAAAAGAGACATAGAAGCTGCCAGCAAAACAGAGAGGAGAGGAGAAATTCTTTCCAACAGTGATCAAGCTATCCGATCAACAAGAATCTGTGGTCCGATTGAGCTGAAATTTGGTAGGCGAGTTCACAACTCAAGACTCTAAATTCTGGACGGTGGAGATCAGATTTGGAGTTTTCTACTGCTAGTTTTTGGCCCGTGAACAGTACCATTTTTGGTGAGATTTTTCCTAAACTTTGTAGTTTGATCTTTGGTTGCCAAGGAAGCTTATTTGTAAGTTGTTCTTGATTGTTTGCCTCTAGTTCTATCTAGAGAGAACTCTTGTATACCCATTATTTGTTTATAGTGGAGATATTTGGTGGACTACGGTCCCGTGGTTTTTCCTTTCCACATCGGGAAGGTTTTCCACGTTAAAAATTTGTTGTCGCCTTGTTGTGTGATTGTTGGATCATCGCTTTCAGATTATTTTCAGAATATATTATGCTCTATTAAATTACTTCCTAATAGGTTCACACAAAGAGGGAGAATAAACTACTTTCGCTATTTTTGTGCCGGATTCGGATATTTCGAATTGGTTTTTTGTTTTGTTTTCTCCCAACAAATGGTTCAATGCTTAAGGCTTTGTTTGGTTAGAACTAAAAATATACATATGAGAACGTGAAAGACAATGAAAGTAGAGTCAATGAAAGGAAAAATAACTTTTGAACATGCATTTTGGCTAGTAGAAAGTTTCTCCAAAAAATTACAAGAAAATAAGATTTTATTATTTAAATTTCGATTGAAAAGGAGTTAAAAGAAGGGAAAATTAACTTTCAGTGGTGACTTTTAAAGATTATTACAATTTCATGAAAAAGTTTATAATTTTAATTATTAATATTTATAATATTTGTCATGAAGAAGAAGGGCTGACCTGATACACTATGACCAGTAGTTTGTTTGTCATATGAAAGGTGAAATGGAAAAATTGTCAACATTTGGAATTTTAGCAATGATACTCAGTCTAAGTTGGTTCAAGCTACATCGTAATTGAATTTAATTTTCGGAGTTAGTATTCATCGTGCTAACCTACAGCAAAGCATAGAAGAAGCTTATAAAATTAAAAACTATGGCTATGTGCTTAGAGAATCAGCTTAGGTCTTTTATGGCCTGTATGCATATAACTATTGAACCATCATCGCTCTAGCAAAATTTTTTATATTAGTATATAAAATAATTCTGTGATGAGAAGATTGTATTATCATTCCTGAATATTTCAAATTTTAGATAACAATCTTAGTGGTTGCAGAAGGACTACATGAACTGGCCACTATCAATGGCTGTGGAGACTTGAAGGAAGCCTTGCAAAAGCTAGCTTCTTTCCCTTCAAGAAGAACACTAGTAAGAATAAAAATAATCCCTGACTAAAAACCTCTGGATTATGTTTCTTCCATGTCTAGCAAGGAATTGGTATTATTTTCATGAAACTTTAATGGCCCTGTTTTTCTCCGAGTTTTATGGTCTATTTATTTCAAATGGATTTATCTATTTTCTTGCATAGACTTTGTTACAAAATATTTTTTGCCTAATTTGACTTTGGTCTCTTGAAGGTTTCAAGGAACATTGATCTGGTCTATGGAGGAGATAGCATAGGCCTCATGGGTTTGTAAATAGTAATTGTTTAATCGTATAGAAAAGTTGGTGGCTGCACGTTTTTGACATCTTTTTCTTCACAAATGAAAGTTCTACATCTAGTTTTTGTTAATTTATTTTATCTTATTTTTGGGATTGGAGTAGGTAAGAATTTGAGCTCTGCATAAAAAGCTCTTTTCCTCCCTTTTTTTAATGGCTGAAGATCTCTGTTTTTTTCCATAAGGTAATTCTATTTCATTTACTAATCACCCTTTTTTTTATATTTTATTTTAAGTGCAAGGTTGTTCTTTGATATTGGAAATAAGATTTGTATTATTAGATGTAGTGCACCCTACACCTAATGGAAATAAGATTTGTATTATTGATTTTATTCCCCATTATGTTAACCACTGAAAAGTTTGGTTAAACTTAGTAATAACATTCTATAGGTGAATTACGTATGTTTCCATTGTGTTAAACCAAGCATGGCTATGTCTACCATTGCAATTCACATCCTCGGTGATGAGCCTTCCTCTCTACGTGTTGATATTGTTGCTTCAAAAACTCATTTTCTGTTGGGTAGCTTTGCTTGGTAAGATTGTCACAAGGGAGGCTGCAGTACATAATCTGCTGTTATAGTGATAAATTAAGCTTGGAGGGTATAGTGTGTTGTGCTATCTTAAAATGATGGTTTATAGATTGTGTTTTGGTTCCTTTTTTTTGTTTTTTTTTTTTTGTTGGGGGTGATGTGAATGCATTCCAATTGAACTTGTTGTGGATGTTATTTTCTCATGAATTCAAGATCTATTATATTTTTTTAATTCTGTGTTTAGATGTAATTTTTATTATCTAACCCTAGTTTTTTCACCTAGAATATTGATACAATTTTTATTTGCTTCTCTGAGGCTAGCGAGGACTTGGCTGCTTTGGAGGACTGAGGAAGTTGGGGCTCAGTCTTCTTTGGCTCCTTTTCCCTCTCTTTGCCATGTAGTACTCATTGCACTTTTATGCTTTATATAGTTTCCCCATGACTAACAATCTGATAATTTTTCTTCATATTGCAGACTTCGTGATCTAAAGCAATTTATTTATGTATTTAGCTGTTTATATGCTCATTATTTTTTAATCTATGAACTCTTCTCTTCTTCTTTTTTTCTTTTTAATTGATTTTGCATCTTCTATCACCTATATGCATATTAAGGAAACTCCATAGCCATTTCCACTTCCAACTGAAGCTACAATGGTGAAGGCTGCGACTAGTTAGGCCCATTGTGTTTCAGTTACAGGTATCATATTATTCCCATTAGTTTCAGAGTCTAATTACAATCTGCAAAGACAATATTATTAATAGGGTGAGACAGATACAGTTTATTGAGGCTTTGTTTCATTTGTTGTCAAGAAATTTATGAAAAAATTAAAAATAAATAAATTTACAAAAAAAAAAAAAATTTAAAAAAAAAAAAAAAAAAGAAGAAGTTTATTGAGGCTTCCCTAGTTTTATTTATTTTAACGGATCAAAACCAACTGCTGCTACAGCAACTCAATCTGATAATAATAAATCTGGAGAGGAAAGTGTAAAGCAAAGAAGAATGTCATCCACTAAACAAGAAGTTGAAAGCTCAACATCTACTGATGAAACTCTCTCAGCACCACCTTGTCTTGTAGACCTGGATCCAGGAGTCAGGATTACATCTATTGCTGCTGGTGGCTGACACACTTTAGCACTTTCAGGTAAATCCACCTTCTGCTGGATACCGAGGCTCGTGAATAACAGTTTTTAGGTGAAGTTACTTCTTTGTGGTTACGCAATATAGTTTTGTAGGTCATATGAAGTACGAAGCTATGGAAGATCTTTAGTGTAAAGCAAGACTCCTGATGCATCAAGTTCTTACCAAAGTTTTAGATGTGGGGCAGGTGTGGGGTTGGGGCTATAGAGGTGAAGGCCAGCTAGGTTTGCGTTCTAGGATAAAAATGGTGTCTTCTCCTCTTTTCATACCTTGCATCGAGCCATCCTCATTTGAAAAAGATAGGTCTTCAGTAGTTCACCAAGGAAGCATGAACTTGGCAATTAAAGCTCCAGGAACTTACATAAAGGGTATCGCATGTTGAGGTCGTCACAGTGTAGTAACAACAGGTTTTTCCACAATCACATTGGATGATAACATTTTCAATATTTCTTCAAATGGACTTAAAATTTATTATAAAAAATAAAAAATGAAGATTCAGTGGACTACTTCTCTAATATGGTTCAAGATTGAGTTTCACTTTCTTAATGTGTCCTATTTCAGATGTCTTTTGTCCTTCTAGTAATTTCCATCCCTTTTTGTTAACTTGGGATGCAATTGATCAAGATTGCCTACTGCACCTTACCTGGTTCTTTTGAACATATTTAGTTCAAAACGATGTTAATTTATTGCAAGTTCTAACTATTTTATGCTGATATGCTTTCTTCCGTTCATCTTTTATTTCATGATCAGATGCTGGTGCACTGCTTACTTTTGGTTGGGGACTTCATGGACATGTGAGCCTCTTTATGTTAGAGCTTTATCTGGAAATGAGTTAGTTATGGTACCCCTTCAACAACCATATCTTTACCATTTCTTGCTTGGTTTGGTTCAATTTTTAGAGTCTTGTATGTTGTTTATGGAAAGGATCTTTAAATGAAGACTAAAATGGTATTATGTCTAATGGATATCTAGCTAAGAGCTAATCTTTTCTGTAAACAAAGGTCTAGAGATGATTAGCTGGTGGAAAAGACAAAAAAAACTCGTTGAATAATAGGGGAGAGCATCACGGGATTTGGGTGGTCAAACGTAGCACAGCATGAGCAGGGTATAATTGTGTGGTCTAAATCCTTATTGTGAGACATTTAAGTAAGCATTTCTGGGAAAAGAATAAATACATCATCTGTGT